CCCTACGGGAAACAGTTAAACAATTTGGGAGTCTTTTAACTAGGCCCACTGAAGGGGTACTCCAATTGCCTCACCCTGCGTCCCTGTTCAACATGGAAGAAGCCAGAGTGGTCTGTGTCCCAATTCCCTATCAGAAATTTGGGTAACCCCTTCAGAGGATGGTGGTAAGAATAGGAGGTAGGAATTTGCTAGGCAGTTAGGGTAAAAAGACCCCAAAGAAATATAGCCAGTTTTTTGGCTAAGTCAAAATGTCTTTGGGCCTCTTAGCAACATACTGTTCCAAAGGCTAAAAATGTCAAAAGTATTTGGGAGCTTTTATCTAATCTCTAAAAGATTTTAGTTACCTCTTCAGATGGGGAATGTTAGAGTAGCAAAAAGCCCGTTAAAAAAAAAGAAAAAAAAAAAAGAGTAGATGAAGTTGTCAGAAAAAAGTGATGGGGAGGTATGGGAGGAGTTGGAGGGGAGGGAGTGGGCGTGGATTTGATCAAAACACCTTATATGCATGTATGAAATTCTCAATAAAGGTTTTTAAAGTAAAAAAATAATTTTTTAACAAATAATTACTGGAATAGGGGGCTGGAGAGAGATGAACCAGTGGTTAAGTCCCTTTTATATGGACTGGAGTTCAGTTCCCAGGCCCCCTATGGCAGCTAATAACTGTCTGTAACTTTAGTTCCAGGGAATCCTATACCTTCTTCTGACCTCTGCAGACATTGCACAATATGGGTGTACTTACATACATGCAGGCAAAACACTCATGCACATAAAAATAAAAATATTAAAAGATAATTACCGGAATAATCATTGTAGTAAGTAATCATTGGGGTTTTGTAATATAAAGAACACAAAATCAGTGGTTAGAGATTTTCAAAGGTGGGGTGGTTTGAATGAGAATGTTCCCCATAGACTCCAAGTAATTGGGACATTTTGCCCCCAGTTATTGATGCTGTTTTGGGAGGTTTTAGGGGATGTGGCCTTGCTGGAAGAAGTGTATCACTGGGAGTGGGCTTTAGGAGCACTTAAGCCTTGCCAGATTTTCTGATACACTCTGCTTCCTGTGCCTGCTTGAAGATGTGGTCGCTCATCTTTCTGCTCTGGCCACCTGTCGCCATGCCTCCCCTGCCATTATGGACTCATCCCTCTGGAATCATAAGCTAAATAAACTCTTCCTTCTATTAAAAAAAAATTTAATCTAGGAAGCTGGAGAGATGGCTCAGCTGTTGAGAGTGCTTGATGCTCTTCTGGAGGACCTGCGTTTGGGTTTCCAGCACCCAGCTCACAACTGCCTGGAATAGCAGCTCCAGGGACTCTGACACCCTCTTCTGGTAGCAGTCCACCTGTAACCCAATGCTCAGAAAGGAGAGACAGGAAGATCATGAGTACATGGCCAGCCTTGGCTTCGTAGACAGTGCAGGCCAGCACTGAATACAAGACCGTGGCTCAGGAAATTACTTAAAAATCTAAAATAAAAAGTACAAATAAAAGTAACAAACAGAGCAAATGCTGCACTTTTCCTCATAGATTTGATTTTGACTTGGGAGGTTGGGTGGTTTTTTTCTGAAGGAAAGGGAGAACAAGAGATTTGACACAAGGACAGACCAAAAGAGCACAGAGGTCAAATGTTTCCTTTACTTCATCTATCAAAATCACAGGAATGATCAGAGCCAAGTAGCTACTTAGTATTAGAAGCTCTTTGTCTGTATACCCTGGGGAAATAAAACTAAAAAGCAGCTTGCTGAGTGTCAGATTGCGGGGATGAACTATTCTGTTCATGCACTGGCTTGGTGCAATGTTCGGTAATACGTCTATGGCAGAAAGGAGAGCCACAGGAGACTTTTCTAGGAATTTCCTTTCTGGGCTAATCTTGTGCCCAGATCAATTTTGCATTTAAGGCAGGGTCTCACTATGTAGCCCAGGCTACCCTGGAACCCTTGGAAATCTTCCTGCTTTAGCTTCCAAAGTGCCAGATCAATTTTGGATATATTTCCTTGGTCATCTACAAACAACTGAACCAAAAGTTTGTACATAAAGTACTTCAAGTAATTCTGATGAGTTTGTCTCTTTTTATCTTTGCTACAACAATTAATTAAAAAGAAAATAGAATCTGCCTCACTTGCCATACAGACATATTCAAATGAATGAGTTAGCATACCACTAAAATGACTAAAATTAGCCGGGCGTGGTAGCACACACCTTTAATCCCAGCACCTGGGAGCAGAGGCAGGCGGATCTGAGTTCAAGGCCAGCCTGGTCTGCATAGTGAGTTCCAGGACAGCTGGGACTACAGGGAGACTCTGTCTCAAAAAATGACAAAAAAAAAAAGACTAAAATTAGAAGGAAATCACAATTTATAGCACAAACAGATACAGGGCGATTCATTTGCCACTCTGCAGAAATGTGTTTGAAAATTTTCATAAGTCAATCCAAAAAGCAATGAATCCAAGGTAACAGTTACTTCTGAAACTCATCATTGGCCAAAAAGCTGGCAATTGACTGCTGAGTATAAAAGTGAAACCACAGTTAAGCCAGAACATGAAAGATAAAGAATTTCTACTGCCATTTCCCTTAACACTTTTTCTGCAAACAGCCTTTATCTTAATCTAATCTATGTATCAATCAGAGCATGTATTGGGGGTAAATATTTGACTGACATTTACTGTCAGTGTCTTTTAGGGGCATTTCTGTTATTTAATATACTTTCCACAACTATGACAGGCAACTTATAAGAATAAAGAAGCTGGGCATGGTGGCACACACCTGTAGTCCCAGCACTCAGAGGCAGAGGCAGGCGGATCTCTGTGAGTTCAAGGCCAGCCTGGTCTACATATTGAGTTCCAGGATAGCTGGGGCTACAGGGAGACCCTGCTTCAAAAAGACAAAAAATAAAATAATATAAAGAGATAAAAGGTGAAGGAACACCTTCAAAAATATGAGATGCACTATAGCTCCAGTCACCTGCCACACCCTGGAGACCTGAATCCTCACTCCATCTGCAGTGACATGATCCTCTACTCTTTTTAAAATTTTTTCCTTCAAAACCTTTCAGTCTTGCTGAGCGTGGTGGCACACGCCTTTAATCCCAGCACTTGGGAGGCTGAGTTCAAGGCCAGCCTGGTCTACATAGTGAGTTCCAGGCCAGCTGGGGTTACAGGGAGACCCTGTCTCAAAAAGAGAGAAAACAAAACAAAAAACCTTTTAAGTCTTGAGCTAGTCTACCAAGAAGAAAACTATGACAGTTACGTATGAGAACAGTAAATGATATAAAACTGTTCTCACCGGGGTGCACACGCCCAATAAACAATATGGTGATTTTAAAACTTCACTTTATGTTTTTCTCACCCTGCCTTGCACTTACACCATCAAAACCTCCAGTGACACTAGCACTGTGGTAAGAGTTTGCATTGATCCTTTTATTTCCACTCTCTTCTATGATCTCAGCAGCCCAGAGATGGATTCAATTCTCCTTGTTTACCACTAGTCAGCCAACTCGACACACCTGTGCCGAAAGCCTCTGCCTTCCCTCCACCTGCAAAGCATGAACCTGCAAAAACACCCATACCTGCCATGATCAAGTGCAAGGCAATGATGTGGTGCTCAGTCTTGGAAAAGGCAGAGGCATCTTCACTCCCTGCGCCTGAACTGTTACCTAAATTGTTCCTCAGCATTCTGGAGAGAATATTGAGGCCACCTTCAGAACAAGCCTTCAGGGATGAGGAACAACTTTGGTAGACTGTGAAGGAAGCCTTTTCAGAACAAATCATTTCCACTTCTAGACCTCAAAGAAAGGCCTTTTCATAGAGGCTCTCCCTGAATAAACTTAATAGGGCTTAAAGAGGGAAATATTTTAATTCTAAAACAAGGAAAATCCTTATTTATAAAACAAAGAGAAATACCATTACCACTAATTTAGTAACATCTTGTACTTAAGCAGATTACCAAGCAAGCACATCCCATTTAGAGAAAACTCTGAATATCCGTTCAGGATCTGACATCAGTGACTGCCTGAAATGAAGAATCAGCCTTCCTCCTCCATGACTGCTCAGGTAAAGGGCTCTGTTTCCCTTTTTGTTGTTACTGGGGACTGAACTGCTCTGGACTGAGTTTTTCTACTTTGGGTCCTTTTTTTCCCCTAACAATTTTAAAGTGTCTCCTCCAAACCTCCAAATCTCTCCATGAAAAGTCCTAATATTGCTCAGTGTATATCCTGTCTTAGCTTAGTTTTACTTATACATCTATTCATACACAAGTACATTCATAGAAGTTTGAGGTCCCCCCTTTCTTCCTTTCAAACTTAAGTATCATATCATAGTATAATCATTATGTCTGTACATACAACACACACACACACAGTTTCCTCTAAATACCATATCATATGTTCCAAGTCAATAAACCTAAGTCTAACATTAATAGCTATGTGTTCCACAGTGTGAGCGTATCACGATCCATGACCCACCACATACCTCAACTAATTTGCACTGCACTTTTATACACGAGTAATTAATATTAATGATAATATCAGCAAAGTATCTGGATTCAATCATTCATCTTATAAAGTACAAGGTAATCCTGGGGCTGGAGAGATAATTCAGCAGTCAAGAGCACTGCAGAGGACCCAGGTTCAATTCCCAGCACACACATGGCAGTTAACAACCGACAATAAACAATAATTCCAGTTCCAGGGATCCGACACCTTCTCCTGACCTCCACAGACATTGTATGACATGGGTGCACCTACACACATGCAAGCAATACATTCATAAACATAAAAACAAATAACCAATATTGTCATGCAAAACACCTAGTATGAACATGCATTGTTAGGACAAGATATCTCCACTACATTTGTTATCTAGTTCCTAATGAGTAGAGCTCCGAAGACAGATGTCACCAAACAAGTGCAGCATACAACAGAACCACCAGAGGGCAGGATTTGCTAGCCTACTTGCTTCATCTCCCCACATGGTTCTAACTTATCTCCAGGACAGGTTAATTTAGCTGACTTAGCAACCAGTACTCAAAATTTTAAAAATGGGAATACCTTAAAAATACTTATAACAAGAATATGAACCCTATTGAGACAGAGTCAGAGAGCAAATGAATTTAATTCAAAATGAAATGCTACAACAGAAACACAAAAATAAGGGGAGGGTAGGAAAAACTGAGGTGAAAATGAGTTTAAAGATGACCAACTAAATTATGTGAATAACATAAAGGGAAATCTTGCTGAGCATGTTGATACACTCCTACAATGCCAGCACTGAAGAGGGAGAGGTAGGAGGATCAGGTGATCAAGGATACACAGAATTTGCAGTCAGCTTGGTATATGAATTGTCTCCAAAGAAACCAGAACAAGGGCCTGGAGAGACAGCTCAGCGAGTAAGAGCACTGACTGCTTTTGCAGACAACCTGGATTCAGTTCTGAGCACCACATGATGGCTAAGAACTGTCTGGAACTCCAGTTCCAGGAGATCCAATGCCCTCTTCTGACCCCTGGGGGCATTGCACAACACAGGTGCACTTATATACATGCAGGCAACACAGTCATATACATAAAATAAAAATAAAAGGGGCTGGAGAGATGGCTCAGCGGTTAAGAACACTGGTTGTTCTTGCAGAAGACCTGGGTTGAATCCCAGCACCCACACAGCAGCTAACAACTGTCTGTAACTCCAGTTCCAGGGGATCCGACAGCCTCTCTGTCCTCCGCGGGCATTGCACGACACGGGTGCACTTACCTACATGCAGGCAATACACACGCATACATATAAAATAATTAAAAATTAAAAAAAAAAATTTCAACCTAATGAATTATATACTTGCGACAGCTCACTGGTAAGGTGATTGTTTCATCTTTGGACAACTGCTGCGTGCCAAAACAGAGCAACAGGTGGCTCTCCAGGTGGTCTGTCTGCTGATCTATACAATCTTTTCATTGCCACCATCTTGGACTTTCTTGAAGAAGCAGTTGCTGGCGCTTGTCCTTGGGAGCTGGGCCACTTGCACCTCTGCGGCCAATGCTCCTTTTCCTATCTGCAACCCACTGGGCATAAGCTTTACTTTTTCTTTCAAGTTTCAAAAAGTAGGTTTGGTTCAATAAACACACTCACCTGAAGGAATAAACCATTTTATTTTAAAAAGTTAAATTTGCTTCAATGAAAAGTCCTGTCTGTTTATTAAGCACCCACAGAGTGCCAGGCAATGCTCAAAACACAAGCTTCTTCACGCTCTTTTAGAGCAAAATTGGCTGGTGTACTCCGAGGTTTCCACATGACACTGAGTTCTCAGCCCCACTGACACGGAATGGCATCTTCAAGACTGCCAATCAGGCAGACCCCAGCTCCAGCAGAAGCCAACTGGCAAGGTCGGTCAGCCGCCACAGCTAATGTCCTCTTCCTGATCAAAAGAACGAGTGTATAGTGAGTTAACAGCACTACTATCCAAATCAAATTTAAAATCAGCAGGAGTTCTTAGGATGTTTGGTAAATTTATCTTGCCAAATTTAACAATTATTCAAGGCCGAACTTAAAAAAAATTTTAAATCATTAATACAACAAAATAATTAGATGGAAAATTAAGAGAAAGGAAACAGAGGTGCTGAGTAAGCCAGAACACACAGGTCCTGTCCCGTGACCAGAAGGAAACGAACACACACGCAAAGAAACAAAGAGAATCAATCTACAAATGCAGCTATTCATTTCTCCTCATACCTCGGAATCCGCCACCCCCTCTTCCTCCTCTGAAGCCACCTCCACCTCCTCTTCCTCCTCTAAAGCCACCTTAAAAAGAAAATATTTATTAAATGTTTATAGGCTTTCATATTCTGATAAGCTTATAAAGATTGCACAATTCCTATAATCATAAAGAATAAATACAAATTTATCTATTGTATTTTACAGCAATTATAAGTTAAAAATAAAGAAACAATGGTTTCCTGGGTGGGCAGTAAGGCAAACCCAAGACTACCACCTTTTTTTTTTTTTAACATTTGTATGTGTGTATGTGAGCACATGTGGCACAGCATGGATGTAGAGGTCACTGCACAATTTGTAGGAGTTGTTTCCTTCCTTCCACTGAGTGTCAGGTCACCAGCCTTGGCAGTAGGTGCCCTTCTGTATCTACTGTGCCATCCTGCCTGGCTCAGATTACCACCTTTTACATTATTTCTTTCTTTCATTTTTTTTTGGAGGGGTCTTTTTGAGACAGGATCTCTGTACCTCCAACTGGCCTGAACTCACTCTGTAGACCAGGCTGGCCTTGAACACACAGAGATCCACCTGCCTCTACCTCCCAAGTGCTGGGATTAAAGGCGTGTGCCACCACACCCGGCACATTATTTCATGTTGAAGAACAGACTTACTGTAAAGTATGGTTTAGCCCTATTGCTAAAAACAAGAATGCAATAGCTTTTGCTCATAGTAAATACTTCTAATTGAACTAAGAACCAAGGCTTTTTATTCTAAGAGCAAAAGGTGGCAGGAACAGGTGGCTTTGCTCTGGGAATACTGCAGCAAATTTGTGGCTTAAGAAGTGAGCTGAATATGGACCACAGATGAGCCTGAACTTTCAGCAGATATTCTGTAGCATTCACTGCCACGGTGTAATGGTCAGCAGATGGGATAGTAGATGGAGTTCCATCCTATATTTTTAATTCAGGCTGGACTTGCTGATTGTAGCCCAGCCTAAGTCTAGAACAACTGCAGTGCTAACAGCTACTGGCATGAGATCAGAAGACACAGGTTTAATTCTGGGTCTGCTGGCTGTTTGATTACAGCAAATTAACTTCTGTGAGACTCTGACGTCCTCATACATAGAATGAGGACATCAACTATCTCAAAATGTTTTGCTAAAAATTAAAAGAATGTACTTGGACATCAAGTAGATATATATAAGACCAGCTCTCGGTATATAATCAAATCACTCAATGATAGTTAACTAAGAAACTACAATTCAGTTAGGAACAGTCTCATATAGCCGTCATACAGCACATAATGACGTTCCAGTCAACAAAGGGCAGTGTAGAAAACATGGTGTCCTAAGATTGTAACAGACCTGGAAAATGCCGTGATCCAACACTGCAGAGCAACGCATTATTCACATGTTTATAGTAATATTGGTATAAACAAATCTACTCTTACCAAAGTATAGCCCACACTATTACGTCCAGCACAAAACTGTTGACAATGGTTATAAACAACCAGTATTAGTTAAGTATTATTTTACTACACGTTATGTTGTTACTTTATAATACACTCCTACTCTCAAAAACATTTACGGAGAACAGTGCCAGTTACAGCAGCATTAGCCTCACATCTTACTACCTCCCAGTAGCATCAAGGAGCCATGCTAAGTGAGCAACACTTGAAGACTGTTTAAATACACTCAGTGAAATTGCCTAATACCACCTTTGTCAGACTGCATCTATCAATAAGCAATGAATGTCTATACTCTAGAGAAAACAGGAATAGCCCAGGAATTTGAAATCTTTCAAAAGCACAGTTAATTTTTTTTCTACCTAAGTAAGCTGTTGAAATAAATTTTTACTATGGGTACTCTTTCAATATTTGAGTGAAATAAACATAAGGGAAGTTTGCCTAAATACAAAATTGAATATACTACATGAATTAACTGTGTCTACAAAAATCTCTTTAGAGGACTGGAGAGACGGCTCAGTGGTTAAGAGCACTGGCTGCTCTTGTAGAGGACCTGGGTTCGCATACACATAAAATAAAAAATAAAATTTATGACTATCCTCAGGCCTCTTGGGGTAAGTCTATAGCACAGCTCTCCGCACCGGGACTCCCTAAGCCTCATTCACCCTTCCATGCCCCACCTCGCCGTTTTATACTCCTAGTTTGGGCCCTGTGCTATTCCTAGTCTTGGGGCCCCAGACACCTGGGGAACCAATACTGCTTCCTGATCCTTCTCACCCAGAGCAACTCAGTCCCTTTCTTGGGCTCCAGGAGCACCGCTTCTGGTCCTGGCCCTGCCCTCATCTCCCTCTACTTCCCTGGTCCTGCAACACCCACCAGCCTCTTTCTGGGGCTGACAGCCTCTTTCTGGGGCTCCGAGGCTTACTTTTACTCTCCCTGATCCTTTGCATCCAGTACAACCCAGCTACTCAATCCACTCCCTGGGAAATCTCG